GGTAGTTACTCAAAGCCGGTTTTTTCCTCGATAGCTGCCATCCAGTAAATCCTCTCCGCCTCCCTGACTTTTCCCTTAACGCTCTTTGTTGACATATGGCTCACAATACCAGCCGTATATTTACTAGTGAGTCTTCTAGTTCTTTTTCTCCACTGTGTGTCCACGCTCTTCCTATACAAATAACGGAACACCTTCTCTGCCCATCTACTCTCCTTCATATTTTTAGCCTTTCTTCGAACCTTATTTTGCTCTGCGCTTCCCTCGCCTCAAAACCTGCCCACCCCATATCGCCCTTTACAGCCTCGTTTGTCGTCTTCCCGTGAGCACCCAACGCGAGGCGTCCCACAGTCCTTTGATTTACATCCATTCCCGATTGCACCTCTGCCCTCATGCACACCACTGAGTTCCCAAAAGTAAGCCCTGGAACCATTACACCCTTCCACAGACCTCGAAGCACCTCATACCTATTGTATCCCCACAACGCTCTGTGCTTCATTATTGCCGCATTCCTCTTTCCTTTTGCTGCCGAGGCTTTTTCCTGTACCTCCATGTATCTATCACTCTCATTTACCCATACTCCAAGGTACTTGTATTCACTTACCCTCGGTATTTCTTGGCCTTGTATGGACACCGTCTGATCACAGGGATCATTGAATACCATCAATCCACACTTCGTTACACTGAATCCTAGTCCAAGAGCTTCACCTTCCCTTCCGCATATATTCGCCAGCTGCTGTATATCATCTCGACTGTCCGCAAATAAGACGATATCGTCCGCATAAAATAAACCTGGAAGCTTCTGCTCAATCATCATGCCGCCCTGTTTGTGTGACAGATTAAACCAATGTTGCTACCTTCTAGCGCTTTTTCCATACTCACCATGTACAGCATGAATAACAGCGGGGACAAAGGACATCCCTGTCTCAGACCCCTGCTAACCTCAACGTTCTCTTTGCTACGCATTCCTTCCCACTCTATGCAAACTGTATTTTCTCGGTATATCTCCCTCAAAAGCTGTATACAGTCGTCGCCCATGCCCATTCCTTTCAATATATTCCACAAAATTTCCTGATTAACGTTGTCGTATGCCCCAGTGATGTCTAGAAAAGCCACGTACAAGGGCCTATTCTCTATTTTAGATATTTCTATACACTGAGTGAGAACAAACAGGTTATCGTCTAACCGCCTGTCGACTCGAAATCCGTTCTGAAGTTCTCCCAAATATCGTTATGTTCGGCCCATGTTTCTATTTTCATTTTTACTGCTTGCATCGCCAACCTGTATAGTACCGATGTAATGGTTAGTGGTCTATACGAGCGAATCTTGTCCTTTTCTCCCTTGCCTATATAGATTAAGTTCATTCTACTTTGTCGCCAACTGTCCGGTATTTGTCCGTCCTTTAAGCTTTTTTCTACTGCTTTTAACAATGCTTCTTTAGTGTTATGTCCTAGTTCGTTAATGAGGCTAACGGGAATCCCATCTAAACCCGCGGCAGTGCGCTTTGGAATTTTTCCTTCGGCCTTTTTCCAGTTGAAATTATCAAGTACTAGCTCTTCCTCTGTTGCTTTCTCCGCCACACTTTTACTCACCGGGGAGATCCCCTGGACGCTCTTTTGAAACGAATCGGCTGTTACCTTTTGGATGTAACCTAGCGCTTCGTACCCTTCCAATTGATTTCCTCCTTCATCTAGAATATGTTGTTGCGTTGTGACAGACTTCCTACCTAGCGCCTTTATGTGGCTCCAAAAAATCCTAGGCGCGGCCTCCTTTTTTTGTGTATCTCTGTCATCCAGCGTTCACTTTCACCTTTAATTTTTGCCTCTACCAATTTCTGTACATGGGATTTTTTCTCTAAATATATTTCCCATATTTTTTTGACTTCGTCCTGCGGCCGCTTCTCCTTTTTTGCCTTTCTATGCTCCCGTGATGCTTCGCGTCGCTTCTCGATTGCCTCCCGGATTTCCTTGTTCCACCAACTTTTTGGCTTCCTTTTTCCTTTCCAGCAAACAGTTTTCTTCTCTTTCCCTATCTCCTTCGTCATTAGATGTAACAGCTCACTATACTCCCAGTCCTTGCCTGGTATTTCGCCTACTTCTTCCTCGACTCTTGCGGCTATATTTATTATTTGTTTGTCATTTAAATACGAGCTGCCAGACTTTGATTCCATGCTCATATTTTCAGTTTCGTATCCCATTTGTAATGTTATTCGTTTATGATCACTACCCAAGCTGTTAATGCCTTCCTCGTCTATCCTCATTTCTGTCAGTTTGTGGTAAATTCCTTCAGTCATAAGACAATAATCAATACTTGATTGCTTGTTTCCGACTTCCCATGTGATCTGGCCGTCACATTTAGGCCCCGTGTTAACTATCTCCAGACTATGTTGCTCGCAAAGATCTAGTAATAACTTCCCATCGGTGTCTGAATATCCGTCAAGGTCATGTATGTGGGCATTCATGTCCCCTAGAAGGATGATTTCGGCCCCATTACCAAATTCCTTAATATCCGCACTCATGCAATCCACTATCTCCTGATTCTTTTCTCTGCAGTTATTCCCCGTCCACAAGTAGGCTACCCCTAGCCACGTTTCCTTTCCACCTACTGTGCCCAGAACCCAGAGGTGCTCTGAACACGTCTGTTTCACTCTAACCCATTTGGCTCCGCGGTGAATTAGCATTCCTACACCCCCACCTTTCCTTTCCGATATGGTCCTGTTACACCCTTCCCAAACATAATTTTAATATGTGGTGGCTCTTCCAAGTCTCTAAGGTGTGTTTCTGTAACCGCATACACGCCTATCTGTTCTTTGTTTAACTGCTCCTCAATCTCTAACCATTTTGCCTTCTTTCTGCCACCCTGCATGTTTATGTAACTAATTGCAACACGCGCCTTTTTCCTTTTTCTTTTACCTTTTTTCTGGTTTTTCGCAATTCTACCTGTCAAAGAGTCCTCCTGGTTGTTTTCCCTGTTACGAGCTACCCCGGACTCCGAAGGGCCCGTGAGCCCCCCAAAAAAGCTACTGCGCGTCCTGCCAGTCGCCAGCCCACCTCGTGTCCAAGCCTCTTATCGAAATGAATCTTGTCTCTTTGAAATCCACCCCACCTGTGCACTTCCCTGTTTAAATCCACTACCTCGAAACCCTTCTCTCGACTAATTCGCCATATCTCTTTGTTTGCGTCGACAACCGCTCTTTGCAGGTTGACGTTGCGTACTGGTACTTCCGGTACTGTGCATACTACAATTTGCACCTGGGGGGACACGGTGCGCATGTCATCCACCCCTTTCGCCAAGGTCGTCGCTAGTCCTGACGATTCTTTTTTCAGGACGTCATTTAACCCTCCCGCAATTACAACGAGGTTACGATTGTTAGCTTTAGCTGCGAGTTGTTCACCCGCTTGACTCATTACTGTCCCCAGCGTTTGTCCTGGGAACGTCCCTATCGCAACTCTCTTGTCGCCTTTCACCCTTTCTTTGATTGCCGCTGCGCATCGGACTAAATTTGAGTCACCGGCGATGATGATCTGTTCAGACATTCCTTCTGAAACCTGCACCTGGCTGCTGACTAGGTGACTAGCGTGAGTCACGGCTGCTGGTTTGCTCCCTCCCTCCCTCAAAACTACTTCCCGGTAGCTGGGCCCTGTGGCCAATGTATCTGCCTTTGTCATGCCTGTTTCCCTCATCTCTCCCGCACGGGGGGTCGTCGCCATAATGCTTCCGCCGTCACCTGCGTCTTCGTTCCCTTTCACGACCTTCGATAGGCCCTTCTCGGCTGCCCGGAGCCTTTCCTCCATGGCTGACGTTTTCTCTCGCTCCTTCGCCAATGCATTCTCCAGCTCTGCGATTTTCTTCATGAGCCCACTCCGGACCGCCATCATATTTTTCATTTTCTCCTCGAACTCGCACTGTCTACACTTGGCGTCATCTTCTGCTTTCTCTTCCGCACTAATTTCCACCTTCCACCCTACCCCGCACTCTGAACACTTTACGGTCTTTTTGACCATGGCTAGCTCAGTTTACCGATGCCCACGTGTTAGAACACTGTACTAAAATACACTGGTCTAAGCCAAAAAGAACCACAATAATAAATAAATACGCTACACTTCACAGCACCTGCGCATGCACGTGGTCGGTCTACGCGCAGGCCTCAGCCACGTGGTGGCTGGAGAAAAAAAAGACACAGTACAAAATACTAAAAAAACGTACACCGTACTAGACCTAATCAAGCTTTACGCTAGCGCCTTACGTTCTCATAACGCTACATACAGAGGCGGAAGTGGTGTATGGGAAGTGGGAAGTGGTGTATGTCGGTATGTCCGACATGCAAGGGACGGTACCGCCATCTAGTGAACACTGCAAGAACTAAACTAGAGGTGGCTACATACAGGGGACGCACAGCCCACGCCCTAAGGAGCTTCGCCCCTAAAAGAATAAGGATGGAAAGGTGAGCCGATCTGCAGGTGCGCTCACTAGTGTGTATTAGAAAGCACCATGGCACGTTAGTAAAAACAAGCGTGACCACTTTACTTGAAAGGAAGGTGTTTTATACTCTGTTCAATAATGTTGGCATCTGGGATAGCTGGTGACTGGTCATTATACTACTGTACGGTTAAGTAGGGCACTTTTTACCATGGACAACAGGGAAAACCGAGTGTCGTGTTCTTGTCCCTGCTATCCATGTTAAAAAAAGTGCGCTACCTAAACAACGGTATAATGATAAACTATTTGCCTCCCTGATGCCGCACATTCACGTCTGAGGAATGGTTCGAGTTGGACCCGAAACGTCAAAATTTCTCAATTTAAAAATTTTAAATTAATGTGAGTTTTTACTTCGATTGAATGCATTGGTTGGTGCCCCTTTCCAATGAATAAAAGACATTTCGTATCGCATAAATGTGTCGAAAACATAGGCGGCAAATAACAGTCACAAGTGCCTATCGTGGACTTCGGCGAATGCAACTATAAAGCATGAAACGGCGGTAAGTGACGACAGCGCAGAAAAGTCGAGTTTCATGTATTTATTGGTGAAATGTCGTCTTGCTGCATCATTACTGGTCAAGACCATACATGCAAGTAGCTAGGGCAAGCGCTGCCAGTTCATTACGAAAGAAAACGCAATGTGGCTTCAACGGGCCCATGAATACATTTCCAATGACGCAAAAAAATGTTGACGCGGATGACTACGCTGTCAGCAGTTGAAATGATAGGAAAGAATATGAGGCTGACAAGCACGCCCGATAGCGTGCAAAGCCAACGTTAGCAGGACTTCTTTTTTGTATTTCCTCCTTCATGTGTGTAATAAGCGTTTACAGACAAATAATCATAACGCTTAGCAGGAAATAACGTTTTTTTCCAGCGCTCAGTGACGCACCTGTTTTCGACATGATAGCATACACGTGCGCCGAGTTGAAGAAAAAGATGCGACTCTCTTCAGAACCTATCAACGTGTCTCCCCCACGTTCAGAATTCATGCTATCACAAGTCCAGTTGTTTGTCCCTAAATCACAAACTACGCGTTCACTCGAATGACTGTCCACATTTAAGCCGAGTGACACACCACACATGTCATTCACTTTACGTCCAAAAAAGAGCCTCATCTTTTTCTGGGGGGCCGAATGTCCAGCTGTGTACTAAGCTAATGGAGTTGCGGAAACGCACTCGTTTAACGCGAATTCCCGCTCAGGCGGCGGGCAGGTTGAGGTTCTTCGGTATGCGCACATCACCGAAGTTCTCTTCGTAGGTGATGCAGTAAACGGCGAACCAATCGACGTCGTTGAAGGTCAGGCTTCCCGGAAGTGTCAGTGTCACATCCTGGCCCCGTGTAGCCCTTCTTAATCTTTGTTCTGCAGCGAAGAGAAATAGATAAGCTTACATTAAAAGTTACGCCAGAAGAATATTGGAAGTAGGCAAACAACAACCCTTGCTAAACCGCTATGCAAACATGTACAGTATATTGACGAGGATGAGCCTATATGTCTCCTCTGTAGTGATACTAGCTCAGGGTAAATTTACATCACGTGTATTCTGCCCCTAGATCCTGTTGTCTCACTCATATGTCATGAAAGTGCAGCCCATATGCAGCCAACAAGAACAGGTGCCAAAGGAAACATACAAGCGCTGCTCAAGACCCAAATCACTGATATATATATACTATATATATATATATATATATATAATATATATATATATATATATATATATATATATATATATATATATATAATATATATATATATATATATATATATATATATTAGTTGCACAATACACACACCGAGGCAACCTAAAGTGAGGATGTGCAAGATGATTTGGCAAGAAAATATAAATATACCGAGAAGTGAGCAACTATATTCACGAGAAATACTACGTAGACGATCACATTTCGCACCGACCAGCAGCTGTGTACACATGTTTTGTTCGTGTTTGCGGGGTAGAGTGGGCAGAAGGTCTTCGGACTGAGTCATTATATTGAACGTGCCAGTGCATGGAGTTGAAGAAGACAAAGCAGATAGACTGGCGCGAGCTAATCTGTGTGGCTGGGGCCCGATCCCCCTTTGTGGGTGTGCGCCAGAGTATCAAGGATTATTATCATCATCATCCATCATCGCTGCTCGCCTAACCGGCTGTAAATACATCGGTGACTACCCCTCTGACTCGGTCTCCTTCTCGTAACATATTTTGGCGGAGTTGTGCGATCCCCGTTCTCGCCACGGAACTCCGAAGCGGACGCTTCCTCGCGGCTTACAACATGACCACTCAAGACTCGGCTACATCCTCTCCGGTCGCAACAACTTTCGTGACGCTTCCCGCGCTCAAAGACCGCGGCGTGTTCTCGGGCAGCAAGGGCTCCGACGTCGACCAGTGGCTACGCCTCTACGAACGCGTCAGCGCCACTTACAGGTGGGATCCCGCTCTTATGCTCGCAAACGTCATCTTTTATCTCGACGGAACCCCTCGTGTTTGGTTTGACAACCAAGAGCATGACATAACAAGCTGGGACAGCTTCAAGGCAAAGATCCGTGAGCTTTTTGGCAACATCTCTGGTCGTCGTGAAGCTGCGAAAAATGAGTTGTCGACTCGCGCACAATCTTCCACGGAGCCCTACATCATCAGTTACATTCAGGCTGTCCTTTCACTATGCCGCAAAGCTGACGAAAATATGTCTGAACCTGAAAAAGTTGCGCATATCCTAAAGGGTATCGCCGACGATGCGTACAACTTGTTGGTATTCAACAATGTGTCATCTATTGATGCGATAATTCAAGAATGCCGCCGGTTCCAACAAGCTAAAAGCAGACGCATCTCCCATCAGTTCCGGCGCCTCCCGAACACCACTGCGACGTCCTCGTGTCTCGACACATATCATCCACCAGACACCTGTGACAACTTGACGCGAATTGTAAGGCGGGAGCTTGAAGCGGGGCTGCTCCAGCTAAGGTGGGACCAACGTCTCCTGACCCCTCTCCGCCAATTACGTTGCCTCTCATTCAAGCAGTCATCCGGCAGGAAATCGCCAGCTTGGGAATTCACTCTATCTCACCGCCTCCCCGCACCGACTACCAGCCCCGATACACGCCTGCACGTCCCTTCCCGACCGGCTCTCCCTCAACGTTCCGTAATCCGTCCGCATGGCGAACACACGATGACAAGCCGATATGCTTCTCTTGTAACAGAATCGGGCACATTTCTCGCCATTGTAGAAGTCGCTGGGGTCCTCCTGCACAACCGTCCTCTCGTCCCTTCTATGCACGTCCTGCCTATCGCCATGAGACCAGCCGCGACCATTTTGCCCAAGAACCTGCTTCTGAACACCGCTACTCCCGCTCTCCATCCCCCCAACGTCGCCAGTCTCGTTCTCCACGGCCCCGCCGACCATTTTCCCCCGCTTTCCTACGAGGTTCCCCGACGGAAAACTAAGCGTTGCAGCCCGCGGAGGTGGCGCTGCATCGCTCGGGCTGACCTAAAATCCTCTTTTGTCGATACCGACAAAACGGAACCTCATAGACGTACAAGTATACAGCGTACATGTCACTGCTCTTGTCGACACCGGCGCCAAAATTTCCGTGATGACGAGTGATTTTCGCCGCAAGCTCAAGAAGGTTCTCACACCTGCGACCACTCAGTTCGTCCATGTTGCGGATGGTGGAATAGCATCTATCGTTGGAATGTGCTCCGCTCGTGTGAGCATTGCGGATCGACACACAGTTGTTCTCTTCACCGTCTTTGATAAATGCCTCCACGACGTAATCTTAGGCCTCGACTTCCTGTCCACGCATTCTGCCCTCATAGACTGTTCGAGCAGTACGCTCCTACACTTGCCCGCAACAGAACCTCTTGCACAACGGCTGAGTTCCTTCTGCACAACGGGACACGCGCGCCTCCCTCCACAGACACTGTCCTACATAGAGCTCGTCTCAATACCACCAGTTCCCGACGGTGACTATGTTCTGACCCCTATGACCAATGTCCTCATAAGCCGTGGCATTACATTAGCACACACCATTCTGTCCGTCGCAGGAAAGTCTACGCGCCTCCCAGTTGTCAACTTTAGCTTGACACCTCAAGTTCTGCCACAAGGGATCTCTTTGGCGTTGCTCTGCACCTTAGAAGACAATGCGGTAGATGTTTTCGCGATGGCCGCTCCTTCTGACCCCCACGCTCAGCATCAATCTGCAACTTGCTCCGACAGCGCCATTACTTCGATGATCGCTTCCAACTTAACGCTGCAGCAGACTGATGAGCTCCACCGGGTTCTGCTGTCCTACATCGATGTTTTTGACATCAGCGGCCATCCGTTGGAGAAATCTACCGGTATTAGCCACCGCATAAACACTGGTAATGAGCATCCTATTCATAGGCGTCCATATCGGGTGTCGGCGGCCGAGCGTCACATCATCCAAAGTGAGGTCGACAAAATGCTCGCCAAGGACATCATTGAGCCATCCTGCAGTCCTTGGGCTTCTCCTGTAGTGCTAGTCCGCAAGAAAAACGGTGCATTGCGTTTCTGCATGAATTATCGACACCTACACAAATTACCAAAAAAAAGACGTCTAGCCTCTGCCACGAATAGATGAGGCGCTTGATCGCCTCTATGGGTCCCACTATTTTTCCTTCATAACCTTCGTTCCGGCTACTGGCAGATAGAGGTAGACGAAATGGACCGTGAAAAGACGGCATTCATCACACCCGATGGCCTATATCAGTTCAAGGTCATGCCCTTCGACCTTTGTAAACGCTCCAGCCACCTTCGAACGAATGATGGACTCCCTGCTCAGAGGATCCAAATGGTCCACCTGTTTGTGCTACTTGGACGACGTGATCGTCTTTTCACCAACATTTGAAACTCCTATAGAGCACCTCTCAGCCATCCTGGGAATCTTCCGTCGAGCTGGCCTGCAGCTCAACTCATCCAAATGTCACTTTGGACGCCATCAAATCACAGTGCTTGGCCATTTAGTAGACGCCAACGGTGTACAACCAGACCCTGCAAAATCAGCGCCGTCAAAAACTTTCCTGTACCACGATCTGCGAAGGATGTACGCAGCTTTATCGGACTATGCTCCTACTTCCTAAGCTTCGTGAAAAATTTTGCGCACCTAGCGAGGCCGCTTACGCAGCTCCTCAACAAAGAAGTTCCGTTTTCATGGGGCTCCGAAGAGGCTTCTGCGTTCTCGACTCTCGTCGCTCTTCTCACTATCCCTCCGATTCTGGCACACTTCAACCCGGCTGCCCCTACGGAAATCCATACAGATGCAAATAGGCATGGCATTGATGCAGTGCTGGCTCAGAAACAACATGGCCTTGATTGCGTTATTGCATATGCCAGCCGCCTCCTATCCGCCCCTGAACGTAACTATTCGATAACAGAGCGTGAGTGCTTGGCTCTAGTATGGGCGATGGCGAAATTTCGACCTTATCTATACGGACGCCCATTTTAGGTAGTTACCGACCACCACGCACTCTGCTGGATCAACTCTCTGAAAGATCCATCAGGCCGCCTTGGTCGCTGGGCTTTGCGCCTGCAAGAGTTTTCCTATTCGGTGGTCTACAAATCTGGCCACCTACACCATAATGCCGATTGCCTCTCCCCGGTACCCTGTCGACGATCCTGAGGACACTGACGAGCCCACGGCGAACTCTATCTTGTCAGTGTCCGACTTCTTCCTTAATATTGGGGAAGAACAGAAGCGTGATTCAGAGCTGCTTGACATCATCAGCCGTATGGAATCCTCCACAAATGATGCTTCCGTCCGCTACTTTGTCATTCAAAAGGGTGTGCTATACCGTCGAAATTTCCGACCAGACGGGCCCGACCTTCTCATTGTTGTGCCTAAGCATTTGCGCCGCTGTGTTTTCACCGAACTTCACGACGCTCCCACGGCTGGACACCTAGGCGTATCCCGCACGTACGAGCGCGTCCGGCGCCGTTTATTCTGGCCAGGCCTTGCTCGTTCAGTACGCCGATACGTCGCCACGTGTGACCTATGCCAACGTCGTAAAACACCGTCGCTGCTACCCGCTGGCCATCTTCAACCAATTTACATACCAGCGGTACCATTTTTCCGTGTTAGGTTAGACCTGCTTAGTCCTTTTCCCACATCAACAACGGGAAACAAAGAGATAGCCGTGATTACAGACTACGCTACATGCTACGCTATTAGGCGAGCTCTACCGACCAGCTGTGTAACCGACGTCGCTGACTTCTTGTTACAGGACGTTATATTGATTCACGGTGCTCCGAGATAGCTTCTCACAGACCGTGGCCGTACATTTCTATCCCAAGTCATTGCCGACATTCTGCGTTTTGTTCCACGCAACACACACTGACAAACGCTTATCACCCTCAAACAAACAGCCTAATATCGGAACGATTTAACCGCACTTTAACAAATATGCTCGCTATGTACGTGTCGCCCGACCACCGAGACTGGGACTTTGCCTTACCCTACGCAACTTTCGCGTTAATTCATCCCGTCACGAAACAGCGGGATTTTCACCGTTCTACTTATTGTACGGAAGAGAGCCGACTTTACCACTGGACACAGTCATCTCGGCTCACACCTCGTCCACCAGCGAGTATGCCCGCGACGCGATTGCGCGAGCCGATCATGCCCGTCAGCTCGCTCACGCTCGGCTGATGGCGTCGCAAACCAACCAATGCCGTCGGTACGATGCGGAACATAGAGACGTACATTTCGCTCCCGGTACCCTCGTTTTACTCTGGTCCCCTCGTCGTCGGCTGGGCCTATCCGAAAAACTTCTGTCTCATTACACGGGACCCTACCGTATATTGCGTCAAGTAAAACCTGTCACCTATGAGGTCAGCCCCATCTGGCCATCATCATCTACTATGCGGCCCAGTGATATTGTACATGTCTCGCGGATCAAGCCCTACAAGAATGCGTCAGATAACGACCTTTAAAGCACCGGGACGGTGCCTAGGCCGCCGGGGGTCATGCTACGTGCCAGTGCATGGAGTTGAAGAAGACAAAGCAGACAGACTGGCGTGAACTAATCTGTGTGGCTGGCGCTGCTTGCCTAACAAGCTGTAAATACATCGGTGACTACCCCTCTGAGTCAGTCTCCTTCTCGTAACAATATCAACTAGTTGGGAATCAGGACAATCGCGTTGATACATTTGAACAAAGCATACACCACATATGAGCAGCGAATGAGCGTTTAGCGTGGTCAAAACGTTTAATAATGTTGAAAAAAGAGCCACAAAGATGAAGGTGGTGCTTTACCGCCTGCAAGCTCGGATAGGTTCAAGAGCGCCCCTTCATACTTTTATTCCTATTGGCTGCAGTACAATAAACTTGTGGATAAATTACCTCTCGGTGACCGGAAGTTTCGCTGCAATGCATAAAGCTTGAGTTGATATTTACTGTGACCTACCACACCAAAAAATTTTGTTATATTGTATAAATATTCAATAATCCTAGCTGAACTTACTCTCCGGTTGGAGTGGGGATTTTGGTGGCGCCCTTGTGGGTGACTTTAGCTCCCTTGCCCACCAAAAAGTACACGTCTGAAAGAAGAGAAACAGTGTAAATATAAACTACTCTTAAATATAAAGTATTCTTGTGCTGGTAGACACGACATTAATTGAAAATAACAGAAAACTATGCCAACAAAAGTAGAGGGGATGTTATTAAAAAAAGTGCGGTGTTGTTGTGAAGAAAGAAAAGTGGACGTGAAGGTAATTTGCCTCCAGCAGGATCCAAACCTGCGACCTTCAAAAACACGTCCGATGCTCTACTACAGAGCTACGGTGGCGGTCATCCCGCTGTCCACTTTATAGCGTATTTATGTGTGTTTAAACGTGGGAGCATTCCAGAGTCACCTGCTGCTATAACACACTCAAAGAAAAAAAATAGTAAAAAGAGCGTTCTGGCACGGGTACTCAGGTACTCCCTTGACGCGTTTCGATAAGTGAACGCTAATAAAAAAATGGTTGCCATTTACGAGGAGTCATAGAACTCTCGCGAAACACGTTTCGATTGCCTTCCGTGTCGAAGGCGCCGCCGTATACGCCATACAGATCGGGCGTTTGCCGTTCGGCGCCGTCGTGGCGGATTGCCCAGCTCACCCCAGTTAAGGTTACCCGGCGATCACCGCAAGTTCGTGAATGGGATTTTTACTCTCAGAAGCGCAGGCATCATCTGATGCACTGACGCAACATGGACATACGAGTAGCTTTTCATGTCCAGATGCACCGCTTTACAATGCACGGCTTGGTATACCAGCAGAAAACAATGAAATTAAGTGACCGCACAATCGCATTGCAACGTGTTTACATGACGGTTCTTTGAACGCATAAATGTCCCAAGAATGCACCACATCGGTGGCTGCGTCTTGGTGCAATTAGACGAGATCGTGTGAACTCACCGGGACCAGCGCCATCATAGGTCAACTTGGGGATGAAGATCTTCTTCTTGCTCTTGAGCACGATGGGGCCCGAGCCGACGTGTGCGCTCTCTTGGTGAGCGCTGGAAGTGTCACCGGTGCGGCTGCCTTGCGCGCTGTTCTTGACCGCCGGTAGAGGAGACTGCAAGACAGACAACACAGAATCCTGTTAGTTAATGCTCCCTTTAACCGAGTAATCACGACAATAACTGTTGTCTATGTGGATTACGGCGAGTGAAATCGGCGATAAGGCATCATGAGAGAGTATAAAGCCTGCGCTAATGGACGAAATAAAGGCACCTGAAAACAGCATCGCCAACTGTCAAGTATATACAAGGGCGCACTGGGGTGGTAAATGCGTTCTAAAAGCACAAAAAGTGCTCGGAAATCGCAGCAACAACCGTAAACCACGCAGTGCGCATGTCTACGTAAGGTATAACTGTTTAAGAATTTCGTTTTTTATGCAATTTTACCAAAAGCAAAGGGTTGCTCACGAGCGCGTTTGGCGCCCTGCCTTCGGCGCCAAGCGCTAGCGCAGATTCCCTCAGGGAAGACGCGGAACCGGACCAAGCACCATGTTTACTGACCGGAACCCGAACCACAACACATTTGTGCGATGCACAGCACATTAGTGCGCTGCTACCGAGGACTTCGTCTCGCTGAGGTGGAGGGGATTGGCGTAATAAGATGTATTTAACTTCTTATGAAAGTTCTATAGAGAAACGCAAGAAGCCAATCAATCAGCTAGCACTGAGAGGGAAAGTACAGGAATTCAGAGTGTCGCTGCAGAACAGGTACTCGGCTCTTAGTGAGGAAACGAACCTTAGCGTAGATACAATGAATGATAATCTAACGAGTATCATTACGGAGTGTGCAATGGAAGTTGGAGGCAGGGTAGTTAGACAGGACACTGGCAAGCTTTCCCAGGAAACGAAGAACCTAATTAAGAAGCGTCAAATCATGAAAGTGTCAAGTACAACAGACAAAATAGAACTGGCACAGCTTTCGAAGTTGATTAATAGACGTAAGGTATGCGATGTAAGAAGGTATAACATGGAGAGAATTGAACACGCTCTGAAAAACGGAGGAAGTGTCAAAGCATTGAAGAGGAAACTTGGGATAGGCAAAAGTCGGATGTATGCACTAAGGGACAAAGAAGGCAAAATAACTACCAATATGGATAGGATAGTTAAAATAGCAGAGGAGTTTTACAGAGATCTGTACAGTTGCCGTGACAAGCACGGCCTTAATACTATAAGAACTAGCAGTAACCCAGATTACACCCCACCAGTAATGAAAGAAGAAGTCAGGAAAGCTTTGGAGAGCATGCAAAGGGGCAAAGCTGCTGGTGAGGATCAGGTAACATCAGATCTGCTGAAAGATGGAGGACAGATTGTGTTAGAAAAACTAGCCACCCTGTTTACGAGGTGTCTCCTGACGGGAAGAGTACCAGAGTCTTGGAAGAACGCTAACATCATCTTAATACATAAGAAAGGAGATGACAAGGACTTGAAGAATTACAGGCCGATCAGCTTGCTCTCTGTAGTATACAAGCTATTTACAAAGGTAATTGCTAACAGAGTAAAGAAAACATTAGAATTCAATCAACCAAAGGAACAAGCAGGATTTCGAACAGGCTACTCAACAATTGACCACATTCATACTATCAATCAGGTAATAGAGAAATGCTCAGAGTATAACCAACCCCTATACATAGCCTTCATAGATTACGAGAAAGCGTTTGATTCAGTAGAAATATCAGCCGTCATGCAAACACTGCGGAATCAGGGCGTAGATGAAGTATATATAAACATTCTGGAAGAAATCTACAGGGGATCAACTGCTACCATAGTGCTTCATAAAGAAAGCAACAGAATACCAATCAAGAAGGGTGTAAGGCAGGGGGACACAATTTCCCCAATGCTATTTACCGCGTGCTTACAGGAGGTTTTCAGAAGCCTAGAATGGGAACAGTTAGGGATAAGAGTCAATGGAGAGTACCTTAGTAACCTGCGCTTCGCCGATGACATTGCATTGCTGAGTAACTCGGGGGACGAATTGCAACTCATGATTACGGAGCTAGACAAGGAGAGCAGAAAGGTGGGTCTTAAAATTAATCTGCAGAAAACGAAAGTAATGTACAACAACCTCGGCAAGGAGCAGCGCTTCGAGATAGGTAATAGTGCACTTGAAGTTGTAAAAGACTATGTCTACTTAGGGCAGGTAATAACCGCAGAGCCGAACCACGAGACTGAAGTAACTAGAAGAATAAGAATGGGGTGGAGCACATTTGGCAAGCACTCTCAAATTATGACAGGTAGTTTGCCACTATCCCTCAAGAGGAAGGTATATAACAGCTGTATCTTGCCGGTACTTAGCTACGGAGCAGAAACCTGGAGACTTACAAAGAGGGTTCAGCTTAAATTGAGGACGACGCAGCGAGCAATGGAAAGAAAAATGGTAGGTGTAACCTTAAGAGACAAGAAGAGAGCAGAGTGGATTAGGGAACAAACGGGGGTTAAGGATATCATAGCTGAAATCAAGAAGAAGAAATGGACATGGGCAGGGCATGTAGCGCGTAGACAGGATAACCGCTGGTCATTAAGGGTAACTGACTGGATTCCAGAGAAGGGAAGCGGGTTAGGGGGAGACAGAAGGTTAGGTGGGCAGATGAGATTAAGAAGTTTGCGGGTATAAATTGGCAGCAGCAAGCACAGGACCGGGTTAACTGGCGGAACATGGGAGAGGCCTTTGTCCTGCAGTGGACGTAGTCAGGCTGATGATGATGATGATGATGATGATGATGATGATGAAAGTTCTATAAAGACACTGGTTTGTTCAGCAAGTGATCGTGCTTGGCCTAACTTCCTCAATGTACACGTGCAACTAGTAGCACAGGAGCGTATCTCTTTGGATACGATCTAAGTGTGAGCTTAGCGTTATGAATTCATCTGCTTCATTCGCCTAGTTGATTTCTATTGGGGATTGCTGTTTGCACCTGCGCTGCACACGTTATGCTTACAATATGCGCTCAGTATTGTTTTATCGTTCAGCTTGACGAACTCAAAAAAAAGCATTTATTCAGGCTAAGCGTCAATTTCAACGTCAGCCTCCTTTCGTAGCTTTTCGTGCTTCTAACTATATTGATCGATACCCATGAGACAATGACGTCAATTAGTAAATTAACCTATCAATCAATCACGCGAACATTGTTTATCAGAACTGAGAACGGTGTTATTCTCTGTAAATTGCGTATTAAACGTTGTATATGAACGGCTTGTGTTCGGGTTACCACTAATTAGAACTTTCGGTCGCAAGCTAAATGAAAAACACAGAAAGAACGACGTTAAGCTCTCAGAAGCAAGGGATTTCTTACCCGAGCAGATCTGCCTCCTATAGGAGACCACTGGACACCACGGATGTATCCAGTGATATCTCTTGCGACACGGTGGGGAAGTGGTCCGTTCCTGCAGAGAGAAAAGAAGAGAGAAATAAATAAATGGAAGAGACAGGGAGGTTATAACCTAGAAGAACTGCTTTGCTACGCTGTACAAACGTAGCTTACCACATGTGAAGTAGTGGCAAGTGTACCACCGCCAGCCAGCTTAAATCGAACGATTCACAGAGTGACATCCATGGACTGATTCGACTGATGCCCCCCACGAAGCGCTGGGTGATGTTACCAAGGTAAAATAACTCTCCATGTCCGAATAATAGGTCAGCATGCATGGGTAACATCTCGGCCGCAAAACCTGAAGTTACGCTGTGGTGGCGTCTACGAAACCGTGTCAGGACACGCTGCGGAGCGTTCGAGCCAAGATTTCTCACAACTGTACATCTACAATCTCTCCAAACTCCAATTATACACTAAGTGCCGAACTATCTAAGTGTAAGGAGCTATCAAGCTAACACTTGTAATCACACATAATCAAAGTTACAAGTAGACTGGTTGAGTGACAGCAATCGATGCTCACATGTCTCAGAGAACCAATTTAAGGCATAGCAAGCTAAGTGATATTTCACCGTCAAGCAAGCATAAAGGAGTAAAATATACAGACATATAATGGATTTTCTTTTGGATTATTTCGTGGTCTCCGAACAAAAGCCCTCCCAACAGTACACTTGAAGCGTTGTACGTGTGAGGATAATTTTGGACTTGCTGAAGTTTCTGAGCAAAAGCGTTTCGGTTGATGCATTACGCGCATTCCGTCCTGCCGTTCTAGACTCGAATCGATGAACGGAATCAATGGTCCGACAAAGCGTCATCTGGTCTGGAAGAATTATGAATAACAAACTAAGTAAGTGAAAGAGCACCAACCAAATTGAAAAAGGTTTAAACATCAGAAATTGACGTATCGGTATCATACGAAAGGTTCAGAACATTAAAAGTTGATATCTCGGCTACCGTGCCGCAGCCGAAGAATTTGGCTAACCTTGTTTCTGTGTTCCTTCTATACGTATACGTCTGTATTAAACAAGTCAAATTCATTGTCAAGCGCGCTATTGGCGAATGTGATGATCCCTAAAATAACTATTTTGTAGAATAATGCAAATAAGCCTTCTCCCCTCCCCCTGCTTCCTAAAAAATATAGAAGTGCGACAAGTGACTTAAATTCTACAAGCGACCCGGTGAAAAAATAACCGGCGGGATTGGCAACTATGACAACGGATGTCTACGCTTCCACACCATGTACGCAACTCCCAAAGGATATTCTACGTGGAACCTCACGTAAATGGCAGCCACACCTTATTTGAGCGCCGTATTCAGTGCACGCTTTTAAGAACGTAGTATACCGTGCACAGTGGCATAACACACTCTAAGCCTCGTGTTACGAGCCAGGAGGCAGTGGTGGTGGTAGAGACGATGTCCTTGCTGCGGGCCTAGCAGACTTGGCCGGCCATTGAAACGCCCCAGTGTTTGTTCTCAGCATTAAATTTTCACAGCGCACCTACTCAAGTTTGGACAAAATTCTGGCATGATCCGCATGATACTGAGTGGGTATAGCACCACAGAAAGCGAGTATGTGCGAAGAAACTGCAACATAGCATATCCATGATTTATAGCAAAGCGAACGGGCGGGGAAAGAAAGTAAGGGTGAAAAGGAAGGGATGAAGGAGGAGAAAGGGTAGCGTAATGATGTGTAGTATAGTCAGAGTCCTTCAATACTTTTACATGTCGTGAAGCTTAAAGACTGATATAGGGACAGGCGCAACCGCCAGGGGCACCGTCGCACATGGCGGGGCATCGGAGCATCCGCGGCACTGCAATTATGCGGCACGTGCCAGAGCTGTGAAACCTTATTAAACGTAATCGTGAAGGTTGAATACGTCTTCAGGGTGATTTTACCTTTCAGAAAATTCGGGAAAGCTGTAATACAGTGAAACTTAGCGTCGAATGAGGCCTTGAAGTTAGATTTCAGACGGTATGCTGATTGCACTGTACGATAAGCTACCGCTATGAAAGCATGCTTCTTTTTTTTATTGCTTCCTGAAGCCTCTAGTGATAATTTGTGCCCAATCTAGAGTTCTTCAGCGACTCTGATTGTTCTTAGTGCCTAGCGGAAGTGCAGTGGTTGCAACTTTTGACAATGCATATCCAACCTTTCAGGCTACATTTACATTCGGTGTTTCTATGCGAACATATATATCTTAAAATTGTCTCGTATTTATTAAACCAACAGCCACTTTGAATGAATCGGTGCTTTTAATTTAGCTGGTTATGAGGATCAAGTAGTACTTCGTACGACTTTTGCCTCGTTTTCGTGCTTGGTTTTTGGTTGATAACGATGCCGTAGTGCAGTCTAAGTTCGGATGGCCATGGGTTGTAGTTTCTCAGTATTTTACTCTGCCTCTGTAGCTTACTCATGTTGTATTTTCTCTGTCGTCTGTTATTGTTTTCACTGTTAAGATGAAAGCCCTACATGCCTCCCCAAACGGTAAGATTGACCGACTGCGTCCCGCGCCGGCAGCGTCACCAGGCGACTCAAAAAGTTATCTTCTCTTGCTCGGGACGCATTGATATCGAAAATTAACTTTTCACGCTTTTGCAGCTTGCGCAAGTTTTGTACAGCATTTTGGTGCAACCTCTGTTGCGCCGTCGCCCCGGCAAGCTTCTATTGGAAGCGCTGAAGACTCTGCTCCGTGCAATGGATGCGTGGTTTAAATGTTTCAAGCTGTGAGGAGATGCATGTAGCTCTGCCTGTTTGGCACATCCCCTCAACAGCTTTGGTCATCTCAGCGCCTGTATAAACGAAAACGGCGAGCATTTCCCTCATCGGACTTCTTTATTACCTACTGGCATGAAACGAAGAAGAGGCGGCCATTGTGGTCACCTTCATTGAATGCATCATTATGCATTGCAGCTATGGCAAAAAGGCTCATGCACAGTGTCGATTCAGCCTCAACAGTCTCCATCTCAGATGACGCTTCCCGCCTACGCTTCTTAGGCGGGCGAGCTATCCGCTTTATTGCACTATACAAATGCGCCGTGAGGCCATGGAAAAATCCCAGCACAGCGTGGACTAAAGTTTCGGAAAGTCGTGCGGTAACTTCACAACACCACCTCCTATTAGCCAGTAATCTACGCGAAACACGTCACTCTCATACGGAAAGACAGATAGACCGAAAGACAGACAGACAGACGAACAGAAATACAAGTGGACGAACGGACGGACGCTTCGCCCCACACATCATCCTTCACTCCGTGGATATGCTGTGATTTTTTTTTTAATCGTTTGATGTGTCGAGTCAACGCTGGCGCTGTCAGTTTTTCTGAAAGCTCTCGCATTTAAATTGCCGGTGTCTGTTCTCGCTGTTCTGGGGTAGGTATAAACTCTCGTTCACCTGCAGCGCATATCTGTATACCACGGCCCGTGGTATACGGGTATGTGCCGCACGTGTCTTCAGGAAAAGATTTGACGATGTAGCGTGACAGGATCTTTACGTTACGACCACACAGACATGTTGATCTAACTCTCCTTACCCTTTCACACCAATTTTGGCCTACACCAAGAAAAGAAGACGATCACGGGAGTGCCCATACGTAGACAGCTATGGAAAGAGAGAGATAGAGAGATAGAGAGAGAGAGAGAGAGAGTTTTATTCACAGAAAGGCAGAAAGGTCAGCCAGAGCGTTAGCCGGCTCTAGCCTGCTACTCCATACTCAGGAGAGGGGAAATGGGAAGAAAAAGAGTGTAGGATGACGATGGTGAGATAGAGAGGTGAGTATATACAATTCTTTCCAGCTGAGAAAAGTGTTATAGCCGCTCATATGGTCCAGTTGCTTTTGAAAAGGCTATAACGCTCTTACGACCACAGATGCATTGTTGGAGGTCAGGCCGAGGGCGCAATACGGTATCATCAGTTGGTGACCTACTGCGATATAGTTCAGTAGAAGAAATCAGTGTTTGTCGTTCACCTGCACATGCTGAGCAGACACAAAATATGTGCTCAAGTGTTTCTGGCACATCACAGTGTACACAATCGGGACCGGTGCCACTGCACATATACGTAACGTCTTTTGTACACCACACCAATACGAATGCGGTGGATCATACTTGCAATGTGCCGCTTCTATTTAGGGGGGCATGCGGAACCTCATTTTCGGGTCCCATTTGTGAAGTCGCTGGTGTCACCGTTCCGGTTTGGTCCAGAGCTGAAGGTACATAGAAGCAATGAAATTGCTTTAAGTTTACTAAAATTGCTTCACGTTTGTTCCATGCAGAGGCATATTGTATACTTCAGCACCTCACCGTAATGTCTTTTGGCGATTATTATAGCATTGAGAAGGAAATTGGATAGGCAAAAGTCGGATGTATGCACTAAGGGACAAAGAAGGCAAAATAATACCAATATGGATAGGATAGTTAAAATAGCAGAGGAGTTTTACAGAGATCTGTAACAGTTGCCGTGACAAGCACGGCCTTAATACTATAAGAACTAGCAGTAACCAGATTACACCCACCAGTAATGAAAGAAGAAGTCAGGAAAGCTTTGGAGAGCATGCAAAAGGGGCAAAGTGCTGTGTGAGGATCAGGTAACATCATCTGCTGAAAGATGGGGACAGATGTGTTAGAAAAACTAGCACATGTTACGAGGTGTCTCTGACGGAAGAGTACCAGAGTATTGGAAGAACGCTAACACATCTTAATACATAAAAAGGAGATGACAAGGACTTGGAAGAATTACAGCCGATCAGCTTGCTCTCTGTAGTATACAAGCTATTTACAAAGGTAATTGCTAACAGAGTAAAGAAACATTAGAATTCAATCAACCAAAGGAACAAGCAGGATTTCGAACAGGCTACTCAAACAATTGACACATTCAACTATCAATCAGTAATAGAGAAATGCTCAGAGTATAACCCAACCCCTATACATAGCCTTCATAGATACGAGAAAGCGTTGATTCAGTAGAAATATCAGCCGTCATGCAACACTGCGGAATCAGGCGTAGATGAAGTATATAT